GGCGTGTGTGTGTGTGTTTAGGGGGGGAGGGGCCTGCTGGCTTTTTTTTGTCTGTTTGTATTTGTGTGGGTGTGTGTAGTTCTGTGTGTGCGTGTGTGTGTGCTGTTTGTATGCACTGCATGTGTGAAGAGAGGAGGACGAAAGGGGATGCTGAATCGCACCAGAATCTAACACACACACACACACACACACACACACACACACACACACACGGCACAGGCATTCAGGAATATAAAGTGGATGGCATCAGAATTCAAGGTTGTATCTCCGGCTGCGCACTCAAAATCCATACATATTGTACGTCTGTTATAAAGGCTTCTTATCACTGTCAACAAGCATGTTATTTTAACCCTCACAAGTTACCATTTACTACACATATTTGCGCCCTAAATTGCCAATGCTGTGATAGGGTAAAGAAATGAGCAAGTAGGAGAAGTTCATTTGAGCCTTCAAAGAAATACTTCATGCACAAATAAACAAAGCATCATTCATCGATATTATCCACATTTCCACTTAGAAGATCAATATAGCAGCAAACAGCTATTACGTCTGGCTGAGCGGACAGTGGACTGCAGCTCTGTGTGTGTTGTAATACTTTGTTGACGTAGCCAGGCTGCAGCGCATGCTTTCGGTGAGCGTGAGGTGGACTCAGCTGACCACTGGTATCGTCACAGCTCAGCGGCCCTCGCTGAGGTGACACTGCTCCGGCAGCGTCTTGGTCTTGTGCGCTGTTACCTCTGTTAGCTGCTGAGATTAATAAATGAATTCTTACTAAAATCATCCGTCTATGAACTAGAGTACTAAGCATTGTTTTGTGATTCAGTGTGTGTTTTCAACCCTAAATGAGTAAGACAGCTAAATCTTTCCTTTCCAATTTCTGCATTTGTTGGTGGTCAAATCTATTCAGGCTGCAACGAGAGATGTGTGCAGCATGCAGGTTTGTGGCTGGTGGGGGACGGCACGGCAACATAAATACATGTGGGACAAACAAAATCGACGACCATCAGCACAGTAACATCTCTTATCTTTCATCCCTACAACATGCCGTGACAAAGGCAGCAACAAAAGAAATGAACGTTTATTCTCCTCTTTTTTTTGGTAAAGGCTACAGAGGAGCGAGTGAGAGAAAAGCAGATATAGGTGGGCAGAGTGGGACACCAGCACTGGGATGAAGAGGAAGAAAAGATCGGGAGGTGCCGATTATATAAGAACAGCACAAATATCGTGGTAAAGACCTGAGAGGGAGCAGAAGCTATTTTAAACCTAGGATTGAGCTCTGAGAAAGAAACAGTGTGGGATGATATGTTGGCCATCACAGAAACACTGTGTGTGTGTGTGTGTGTGTGTGTGTGTGTGTGTGTGTGTGTGTGTGTGTGTGTGTGTGTGTTCCCCTCCCTGTAGAACTCTGGCACATAGCGGACTAGGACTTTAAAGACATGTTAGGTAATGCAGACTGGAGCTTTTTGATCACAGAGAAACACCTCCAAACCTGTTAACTTATCATTTCATTCCAAAAAAATCTTGGATGTAGTTTCAGGGTTTGGCTGAAACGGAGAGTGCTGAACAAATCCAAGCTGACTCGCACACGGTTGTGGTGAGATGTCCAGTATTGAGGGTGGATGTTGGTAAAGAAAGAATACAGAAAACACACAGCAGACACATTAATGTTAATTACAACAAGTGGGACAAATGTCAGTGTAATTTTCACTCTTTTAGCTCCGTCCTGAGGGAAATATCTGAGAAACCATTTACACTCCCTGTGTCTTGTGCAGGTTGGGTGACAATGTGTAAACGGCCTCCATGCACAATGAGAGATGCTGCTGGTTTAGGAGTCGCTGTTGGCTAAACCATTATTACTATAATTTTCCTCGAGTCTATTTGTCAACCGTGCAACACCACCTCCCTGTGGAACGTCCGGAGGAGATACCTGCAGTGCACCCGGAAAGTATTCACAGCGCTTCACTTTGTCCACATTTTGTTATGTTACAGCCTTATTCCAAAATGGATCAAATTCATTATTTTCCTCAACATTCTACACACAACAACCGATAATGACAAAGTGAAAACTGTTTGTTGCAAATTTTTTCAAATCTGTTTAAAATGAAGAACGAAAACATAAACTTATTTACATAAGTATTCACAGCCTTTGCTCAATACTTTGTTGAAGCACCTTTGGCAGCAATTACAGCCTCAAGTCTTCTTGGGTGTGATTCCACAAGCGTGGCACACCTATTTCTGTGCAGTTTCTCCCATTCTTCTTTGCAGAACCTCTCAAGTTCCATCAGGTTGGATGGGGAGCATCGGTGCAGCCATTTTCAGATCCCTCCAGAGATGTTCCATCGGGTTCAAGTCAGGGCTCTGGCTGGGCCACTCAAGGACATTCACAGAGTCCCGAAGCCACTCCTTTGTTATCTTGGCTGTGTGCTTTAGGTCGTTGTCCTGTTGGAAGATGAAGCGTCGCCCCAGTCTGAGGTCCAGAGCGCTTTGGAGCATGTTTTCATCGAGGAGGTCTCTGCACATTGCTGCATTCATCTTTCCCTCAATCCTGACTCGTCTCCCAGTTCCTCCCACTGAAAAACATCCCCACAGCATGATGCTGCCACCACCATGCTTCACTGTAGGGATGGTATTGGCGAGATGATGAGCAGTGCCTGGTTCCCTCCAGACATGACGCTTGGCATTCAGGCCAAAGAGTTCAATCTTTGTTTCATCAGACCAGAGAATTTTGTTTCTCATGGTCTGAGAGTCCTCCAGGCGGGCTGTCATGTGCTTTTTACTGAGGAGTGGCTTCCGTCTGGCCACTCTACCAAACAGGCCTAATTTGTCCTTCTGGAAGGTTCTCCTCTCTTCATAGAACAACGCTGGAGCTCTGTCAGAGTGACCATCGGGTTCCTGGTCACCTCCCTGACTAAGGCCCTTCTCCCCCGATCGCTCAGTCTGGCTGGGCGGCCAACTCTAGGAAGAGTCCTGGTGGTTCCAAACTTCTTCCATTTCCGGATGATGGAGGCCACTGTGCTCATTGGGACTTTCAATGCTGCAGAAATCTTTCTGTACCCTTCGCCAGATCTGTGCCTCGATACAATTCTGTCTCGGAGGTCTACAGATCATTCCTTGGACTTCATGGCTCGTTGTAGAAACATCTCAAGGATGATCAGTGGAAACAGGATGCACCTGAGCTAAATTTTGAGTGTCATGGCAAAGGCTGTGAATACTGAATTTAATCCATTTTGGAATAAGGCTGTAACATAACGAAATGTGGAATAAGTGAAGCGCTGTGAATACTTTCTGGATGCACTGTAAATGTGCCACGTATAAAGGAAAGGCTATGAAGCATACCTGGATCTACAGTAGATTTGAAGTCTTTTTAGGGAGTCGTCTGTTAACCCAAAACATGGAGCTCAAATCGGCCCAAAGCCGAAACAGAGCTGAGGTGAACTGCGGCAATTAATTAACTGTAAAGCTCCCTGTCAACTTTAACACTCAGATAGTCATTTAAACCCGCCTCTAAATCAAGCATTGCATCTATTTCCTGCATGCGTTTCAAATCAATTCATCCTGAAACATTTGTCCGTAAATTTGTTATATTCATTTTCAATTACAAGTTGTGTATGACATGAAGTCCGTAGTTTAACCACTTCAAGATTCAAGATCAAGAGGGAATTATTCCGTCTCATTAACAGTTATTATATACTTGTACAGAACAGGTTCATGTATTGTTTGGAGGAGAGTATAAAAATATCTGACTGCACAATAAGTGTCTGTTCATAACGTGATGTGATATTGTCCCTTGGTAACGATCAGAGATTATACTTTAATGATATTCTGTCTGGTTATGGGACTTCTATAACAGTTCCATTCATACTAATGTCATCAGTAACCGAAGATTTGTCCACTTTAAAGTAAATCAGTTGTTTCTTTCAGTCTCTTTATCTGCAAAGTGCATGAATGAAAGCTGAAATGTTGGATGAAAAGTCTCTCCAATACAGTGATAATAAAAATCGAAATGTCTCCATTCACCACCACTCATGTCCTTTACGTATTTGTATTTTGTGATCATGAAAAATGTTAATAAGCACAGCAACTGGCATCACGCAGTGTGTGCTTTGTGGCAGACGAGTCTCATTTGAATCCTTGTGTGTGTTGAGTTTTCACACTCAGCAGTGCCAGCTGACATGACGGGCCTCATGTCGCCGAGGTGTCGGGTTCACCTTGAAGCGAAGGACAGTCTTATTTCACACAGGGTCAGGACAAAAACACTTTGAGGGATACTATATATTGCTGCACCTGATATTTAAATTGTGTCTGCTTGATTATATGTTATTTAGAGTATGTATGAAACTCCCACCAGGTGGAGTGCTGCCTGTCCCTTAGTAAAGTACGCTGCCCTCTAGTGGTTACATTCAATCTTACACCCGTAGAGGGGATTTAAGTTAAATTAACCACTAAACATCATTTCCTGATTTGATGGAATAGTGATCAATTCTGATGACTGACTTTGTTATATCATTGTAATTTTATTGAGTAAAGTTATCATATTCCATACTTTCCAGTGCTAATGCTAACCATATATATATATATATATATATATATATATATCTATAAATGATATACAAGTGTATTATTTGTGAGTCCTTAAAGACCTATCATGTTCTTTAAGGGAATCATGTGACATTATTTGTCTGAAGCTGACAGTAGAACCAATAAAGGAGCCGCGCGTCGGGCCTAACAACACCGCAAACTATTATTGGACAATAAAGTACAGCCTCTCGTACTGAATTGCTTAATTATACATTAGTTTGTCTAAATACACTATATCGAGAACAGCATTTGTGTATGTCGAAAATAGTCATTGTTGTGTTAAAAAAGTTATAAAAGCCTTATTGTCACAAAAAGCTATAAGAAATTCAAACAAAAAGACATTGTATAGTATAATGTATTTCACAATATTAATATCTGATGATTAGACGATTTAGAGCTACTCAAACAAACGTTGCATAAAAACAGGTTACAGTCTAAAGAAAGACTTTTATTTTCTATAAAAAGACAAAATCACATATCACATTCTATTTTGCCTGTGCAACAGTTCTCAAATACATTCAAATATTTACAATCCACAGTGGGCAGCATTGACCGTGCATTTCTGATATGAAATTCAAACTCAAATCATATGGCTTATGTACAACATAAGCAGTGAAAAATGTAAAAAACAATAAAACCCTAAAAAGGTATTTCAATCCACAGCAGCCACCAAAAAGGAAACATCTACAGTAAGTAGGTACATGGGGCTTCATATTGCACATGTCAATACTTTGCATACATTCATATTTGCCAACAATATCATCTAAAAACAGACATTGGAAACAGAGACTAGAAAGTCACCACAAAGTCAGGAATCAGGAACATGTATTACCAAGATATGTTAGACAAACAAGGAATTTGACTTTGGTTGGTGCATAACAGCAGACAAGACGATGGACAACAAGTAGAGAGGAGCATGCAGCACAGACCCACACGCAGTGGAAACACAGACACGGTGCAGAGTCTTTGTTAAATAGTGTTCAAAATGAAGTGGCGAAAAACAAGCAATATTGTTTAAGCTCGTCATTCACTCATTATGACGATAGTTTTAAAGTTGGTTTTAAATGTTACCCTCCACAACGAGAGTAAACACAGGTCAAAATACCAGGAAAAAGGGTGAAGTGTTTGCACCAATCCACTGAGGGGTCACAGGCTCCAGGGACAAATCCTCCTACTGGCTCCATGTTTGGACAGGGTCCCACGCTGGCTCCAGAGACAGGGGGCTGGTCCGACAGGTCGAGGCTCATCACAGCACTTCCAAGGTCCACCTCTGGTCTGACTTTTTCTCGTCTAATGTGTTGAGGATCACCTGGTTCTTGTAATACTGCTGACCGCCTAAGAAGCATAGACAACATTAATTAACAAATACACCGCAGTGCTTTTGCTTTGTCAAATATTTAAAAGGACACCAACTGGTTGAATGTATTCACTGAGAAAATGAAACCACGAAATCCTGTAATTTTGTACCAAATGTGTTAAAAAGCAGCAACTATTTGACTCCAGAAAAACACGTGTCAGAAAGAAAGATCACACCAGAAGATGGCGCTGATGACATACTGACAGAGTGGATGCTTTTTAATAATAAGATGTATGTTTGAAGAGAAGGTCGCCTGACCTTTGACCTCCAGGACCAGGGCCGGTTTGAGGAGACAGTGCACGCGGCCCTCTGGGCTGATGTTCCACAGGTAGTTGCCTTCGCCTCGCTTCGCGGCGACTCGAAGCCGGCTGCCCTCCATCACCATACTGCCTGAGGTCTCCAGGAAACAGTCCTCGACCAGCTGGGGACATGCAGGGCATGTGGGTGAGGAGGGAGCTGGTTCCATCCATCCGTTATTATTTATTAAAGAGGTCGTTGTGTGCTGGCAAACTGGCTGCCTTTCATTCATTGCACTGACAGGTTTGAGACATCCTGCTAATTATGATTGCAACCCTGCTGCACACACCCTTGTTTGAGGGCACACAGTTCACTATGATGACGAGGCCACAAAGTACAGTTGACATTTACAAACAATACCACTTTAGATGAAAAGATTGTATGTGGCATTTATACTGTGAGAAAAACAGTAAAAGAGACAAAGTACTAAAGATAATAGGGCAAATATTTTAACTGTGTATGAAAAAATCATCCCAGAGGCGTCTAAAAAGACAAAACCTCAATGAAGTATAGAGGGGGGTAGATGACTGGAACCCCGGATGTTTTACCTTGCAGGCGAGCTGCCCGTCCCGATAGACCCAGACCTGCTCCAAGCCTCCCGTCTCCTCCCCAACCTGAACCCTCATCAGAGAGACGTCCTCAGTAGTCCCAGTCAGGGACATCAGGCCTCCCGTCTCCGTGCTGCGCAGACGGACGTAAGTCTGCTTCTGGCGGAGGGAAACATTTAAATCATGAGTTAAGGTCAAAGTATTCACAACTGTTTGTTTGATTGACGTAACGTGACGTCAGTTATATCATTCGTACAGACGATAGAGCTGTTAATACCTGGAGTAATGGACGTAGCGATCCTACTTGCTGCCTGCCGCTGAGCTGCCACAGATCGGCCACCTCCCCCGGGCGGAGAAGCAGCTGGGCGCCGCGGTAGTTACTGCCTTCGTACAACACCCACCTGGAGACAAACACGGTGTTACTTCAGCTTCACCATGAAACCAGATTCCCAGCAAAGCTTCAGGATTTACAGCCAATCATTGGCTCTAAAAGCTGACACCGCCGAGGGGATGCCGAGGGGACGCCGAGGGGACGCCGAGTGTCTCTGCAGCAGGATTCTGATGTTTTTACAAGATGGTTTTGCTCAACGGGTGTTAACGTTTGGATCATATCTGTGAAAGCTTGACTTATTTAGATATGTATTTTAACTGCCACCCACAAGTGCTTAAATGCATATAGATATGACATGTTTTAAGTCTGCTTAATCATAAAACATTAATAACTTGGACTTTGGTGCGTTGGTATGTATGACCTGTCAATCATGTTGGGATTAACAGCAGCTTGTTACTGCTGATGATGCAGTTACTAATTGGCTTCCATTTAGATTACGGAGCGTGCCAGGAAGATAATAGTGACATACGTTCCCCCCTCCACCACCACGGAGCGGGTGTGGGTGTCCAGGCCGGCCTGCAGCAGGTTCACGGCTCCACCCGTCAACAGCACCCTGCGTCCTCTACAGCCCGCCTTACTGAACAGGATGATGGAGGGCAGAGACAACTCCTGCACAAGAGAGCAGAGGTTCCCTTTGTTAGTCTCATCCACGGTGACCCGCTCGCCACACAAAGGGCTCACATGCACGAGGACACTCACATGTCCAACGGGGTGAGTGGAGCGAATGGCAGCGTCTGAGCACAGGAAGCCCATGGCCTCCGCGTTGGGGTAGTGGCCCTCCTCCAGCACGTACATGCTGCCTGAGAACTGAGCTCCTTCATATGCCACCCAGCTGACACACACAAGTACAGACACGTTGTGATTGGGTTACTGTTCTTCATGTACTGTTTTTGTAACTAAGAAAAAAGTGAGAAAGTGTGTACTGGTAATGTGTACAAATATATATTCTCACACACACACACACACACACACACACACACACACACACACACACACACACACACACACACACACACACACACACACACACACGTTGTGCCCACCTGCCAGCCAGCACCTTACAGGACTTTGGTATGAAGTCGTCACCCAGAGCTGCTGTGCCGTCCTCCAGATCCACCAGCCTTCCCTGGAAGTCTGCCTCAGAATACAGCTGTATCTGCAACACATGGACACTGGATTTAGGATGGACAAACAGCGCAGACATCAGGCTTTATGTCTTGAATGGAGTGGTGATACCTTGAACTTTGTTGTTGCCATCGTAGCGTCCTAGGGAACGACAGAGGGGAGGTATTAACAAAACGACCACGTTAAACTTATTTCAAAAGGCTTTGATTTAGCAAGATGCCATTTACTGAAACCAGCAAAAGTTCCTGAAGCGCCACCACACATGGGTTCTTACGTGGAAGACCGGCTGTATGGAGGAGATCTTGAAGTTGGGGGCCCCCCAGTCCTCAGGCCCCGCATACAGGCCTCTCTCCAGGACGTACAGCTCCCCGCTGAATCCGGGATTCTCAAACGCCACCCACCTGCCGGGACACAGAACACCAGCATGAGGGAACGCGCTCACAGCAGGGAGGACGTCTCCTCGTAGCCCGGCGGGCTGGGACGGTGTGCAGTGCACGCCTTCAGGAGGCTGGAAAGCAAACCGCCGAACCACACTTAAGTCAACAAAGTGAATCCTTGCCCTCAAGAGATGGAAGATCTATTTCGTCTTCTGACAAACACGTCATATCAATTACCCAAAAGGATAATTGTGTCCTCTTTGGCTCGATGCGTCTGAGCCTGTGGGAGTCTTCGGGTGTACGGTGACGTAACTCATGTGTGGAAGGTGAGAAGCGCCCGCCCAAACAGGGCGTGGACAAAAGGGTCAAACTTTCTGACTGGTTAGACTTACACTCCGCCCATGACGTTGACGGACTGCGTTTTGCCGGCGTGGCTGAAGTCGGCCATGCTGAGGACGGGACCCAGCAGGTCCATATTCAGCCCCAGCGGGTCAAAGTGACGCTCACTGAACAGTTTCACATGCGGGGACAGGAAATCCTGGGAAGGAAAGACAGGGACGTTATCACAAAGGGATTCCTACAACTTTGTAGTTGGAAGAGGGGAAATTATTCTGAGAGAAAGGCTAAATTAACCAGAAAATAAGATCAGAATAACACATTTACTTGTTATGTTACTTCTCTCTTGGCTCTGTAGTTATTGCTTCATACTTATGATGACTCTAGTACACAGTCGTACTTCCACAAAGGAAAAATGTATTTTTGCTTTCCAGTTCAGCTGGAACTGTTTAAATGGCCAATTCTCTCTGAGAGGTGGAGTGCAGGAACCCAGCACCGATCAGCGCTTGGTACCAAAGATGGAAACGGTAATAAGACGGCAGCATTGGAGGCGGTACTCACTGGGCATACAGGCCGGAGTGACAGCAGCCCGTCCTCAGACCCTCCCCAGTCACTGCAGTGAGGATACTCCCCCTCCTCCAGGATGTACTGCTGGCCTTCAAAGTCTGCTTCTAGATAGCCCACCCAGCTGCAAGCACACAGAGAATCATCACTAACATGTCGGGATTTGTCAGAGCCGTCTCCTAAAATCCGATGCATGTTTGTTCTGCACGCACAGAGATGCATTAACTTTTATCTCATGTGATTCTAAGAGGACAAAACAAAGACGCTGGCAGCTGATGATCACGAGCAGCCCGCCTAATCCATTAACCAGATACTTACAGACCACCAAGGATCTTTAAAGACCCCACTGCAGACAGCGTCCTCTTCGTTTGCCCCTCTTCTGCTTCCTCTTGCAAGTTGTACACGTCGCTGTCGACTTCTGTGCACGCTCCCTCGAAGTCGGGCTTCTCAAACAGTAAGGCCTGGGTTGGAAGGAGTTCAACATGAGCGGTACCGTCAATGTGGGTCCTGTGTTCAGTTTGTCGCGGTTTCTACAAACAGCTATTGACAAACACACCTTGAATTCGTGAGGATGCTCCACACTTATTGGTCCCTGTAATGAAGAGACAATCGGTGGTCAGACCGAGACAAATGACAAAATGACGGTAGTGCAAATGCACTATATGTTGCATATTTCGTGTTGTGTACCAGTCGGAGGGGTCTGATGGAACCGATGAAGGGCTCAGGGAAACCCCAGTTCTGTGGGCAGGGGTACTCCCCAACCTCCAGCACTCCAACAAATCCCCCAAAGCCCGGATCAGAGTACACCAGCCAGCTACACAGACAGCCAGCAGCATGGGGGAGAGGGAGAGAGTAATGTATGACTAAATAAATAACTCCACAACAGATGAAAAATGTTTGCACCATCAATAATCGGCAGCAGTTCAAACTATCCCGAGCGTCTGCCTGCAGCATGCCTTCCGTCACGCACAAGGAACAGATGCTGCACACAAACGAAGAGCTTGAACCATTTAAAACTAGCAGGGTCGACATGAATGGTGAAACTGAAAGGCTTCCCTTGACCTCCGAACTTACACTCCAGAATGAACCCTGATGGAGCCGGTGGTTTGTGCAACCCCGTAGGAGCCGATCTCTACAGCCTCGTCACAGTGGGACGACATCCTCCCCAGGCCATTCACCTCCGAAAACAGGTCGATGCGGGGCACGCTGTAGTCCTACCAGGTACCACAGGAAAATGGTTCAGAGGGAGCAAGTGTTTAGCCCGATTCTTTACAGGTAACTGAAGAGTACGAGTAAGCTGGGAAGCTTCTGGCACTGGACGGTTTCATTAGGCGCGTGTGACAGCCAGAGGCATGAACTGATGCTTACTCTAACAGCCAGTCGAATAGAGCCGATGACCATCGGCGCCGTGGGCACGGGCTGACCCGTCTGGTCCAGCGTGGTTGGAGCCCCCTCCTCTGCCCACATGTTCACTATGTGCTCCGTGGGCCCTTCCTCAAGGGCGATGATGCGACCCTGGAAGCCGGGTTTTTCATAGAGGAGCCAGCTAAAGAAAAGGAGATGTGTGAAGTGAAATGAGTTGATGGATGACCAAAGAGAGCATCACTGTGCTCCGTGCAGGGATGAGGACAAGGAAAAACGCAAGCAAACATTTATTTGTGAATTTATGATGCAAATGTGTCGCATGGTGGTTTAATAAATGCTTCCAGAGACGGACCATCCTCTGATTACTCTGACTGAGATGACCGGGGACAGCCTCATGGTGGTAGCATCCTCTAAATCACCGTGCAGTTCAAACGGCCGCCCTCCGAACTGAGCGTGCTCGTGAATGACCATCTGGAAAACAGACATTTCATTCAAATATGCAGCAGCAAACAATGGGCCATTGACACAAAGCATTAAAGGAAATGCAGTAAAATGGCCTTTAAATTGTACCTTTCCAGGCCTTTTGTGGAACCCTCTCACTGCAGGTATCTGAAAGAAAATGTAGTATTTTGATTGTGAACCTGAGCTTTTAAAAAAAGATTTCCGTGAAGCGAGTTAGCGGGCGGCCGTATTAACCATTTATTTAATACGTTTAGCTAGCTCACATTTTTTACAGCTTAGGAACGAGCCCACCATGCAGGTCATCAGGGCTTTTCAATACACTTTTTTTGTTTCATGAGCAACTTTCATAGGAATGAAGGAGGATCACCGGGTGAGAACGTAGTGTAGGAAGTTACTGGAACAAGCGTGCTTTAATGAAAGGATCCAAAAGGTGAGCCATGGACCCTTGTTGTGCAGGAGGAATGATTTGCACACTGTGCTCATGCAAACACAATCACACACCCTTGGATGGTTTTGCTTTATTTGCATTTCAATGCAAATGCCCAATGGTCATGTGACAACCCAGTCCTCACATGCACGTGATTCACGACTTTGTTGCAACACCGCCACGAAACAAAAGAACAGGATATGAAAGTGAGACATGTCACCATGGAAACTAGAAAATATCTACGCTCAATGAAAAAGCTCAGACCCCATTGAGAATGTGGGCTATTAAATGCTTAGACTTTTAGTGATATTTAGTACAAAAGAGGACAAACATAATAAAACTGTTGGGGCTTGTTTGAGAGCCTGAAAGTCCTACCTTAGTCTTAGAAGTAGTGCGTCCATTTCCAGACCCCTGCTGGCTGCTTCTCACCAGAGGCGGCCCTGAGGGGCCCTTCAGGCCAACATTCACATTAGACACACCCAAAATAGAGGCCTGGTCCATCACAGTACCGTCGGGATCCAGTTTAGTTTTAGTCATCAGTGTCGAGTCCAGGGAGGTCTCAGAAACAGATTCTTCTTGAGAAAACGCATCTAAATGATCAGGCAGCTTTGCCTCCGGGAGTGGCAGAGGAGACGGAGGAGGAGGGGGAGGAGGGGAGGGTTTAAGTGCTGACTCACTAATTGTACCTATACCGCCACCCACAGGTGGGCCTTGATCCATAGCCGCATTACTTGCAGGCCCAGGTGACTCAACAACCTCCTGCTTTCCAGGCGCCAGCGAGCCCTGCTGCTGGGGGGAAAGTGGGCTGGGGGCAACTTCCTCTTTGGTCTTCCTGGAGCAGCGAGGGGAATTCAGTAAGCTGGAGAGGATGGACATCCTTTCAAGTCGTGACGTCAGCTTCCCAGGCTCTCCTCTGTTGTGTTCCCCCTCTTTTCCTGCCTCAGGACTCGTCTCTTGTTGTCCTTCCAGCTCACCTAGCGATGTCCTGTCATCCGGAGCATTATCCTGAGCCCGTTTTTCTAGGGTCCGTCCTTTCCTGTTAGCCGCCTTTTGTTTAATCATCATCGCTGGGGAAGGATCTCGAAAACCTTTTGCGTTTTTTCTTAAGCCAAACTGAAATTCCTCTGGATCAAATGTTTTCTCAAAATTGTCCTCCTTAATGGCCGGCATGGCAAAAGGTGGCGACAGGGACTTTTTAGTAATGTGTCTCTTTGGAGGTAGTGAGAAGGGGACGCTGCCCTCCTTAACGCTCCTGATAAAATCATCAATGTCATCAGGCTCAAGAGATTCATCCTCACTGGCTGAGGCCTTGAGGTCTTTCCTCCTGTGACCCTTCTTGTGTCTCTGATGCTCCACATCCAACCAGCTCGACGGAGATTCCTTTATCGGCTGAAGACGCTTGGACGCAGCCGGCTGTCCAGCTGTCGCACAGAGAGACAAATTGCCATCGGGTGTTGGCTTTGCGTGCTTCTGAGGGTCACTGAGGTTCATGGTTCTCTCTCCCTGTATCGGAGTGCTACCCGTTTGGGCTTTTTCTTTGGTGACATGAGCATTGTTCCGAGCATCAGTGCAGTTAAGTGCTTCATCTGGGACAACAGGCGTCTTTTCTTCTCCAACACCTTTGCTGATTAATGCATCTTTTGAGAAAGACTCTTTCTTTGATTCTGCGCTCTGATCCTCCTGCTTGGTCAATTTATTTTGAGCATCTGCGCCCTCTTTCATTTCCTTTATGTTCTTCTGTTTCTCGTCAGCCTTGCCGGCAGCTTTTCCCGTAGTGAAAACAAGCGGGTTAGCATTGAAAGTTGACTGATCAGTTTCCACGGGAACGTCTTTGATTGAGCGCTTCGGGTCCTTTTGGACACGCTCATCCGCCAGCCTCTTTAATGGGGATGGATCTTGTAGTTCTTGAATTTGGCTTCCTGTCCTCACTGCCGTCTCATTCACTGATGGATCCTTTGTTTCAGTCTGGTCTTGTGCTCCGTCAGCGCTCTCGGTCTTGGTGCTAGCGATTACGGACTTCTGATCCTGTTGACTGCTCTCCTCAAAGCGGGCGCCTGCAGCTGCCCTCTCATTCCCCAAACGTCTTTTTGATGGATCCTTTGTTTCAGCCTTTCTCTCGCCCTCAGTGCTCATAGGGGGGGCTTCTTCAGTTGTATCTGCTTTTAAATCTTCAGTTCTTACTGTCTCTGGGGCCTGCTCCAGGTTACAATTTGGGAGTTTGGTGTCAGGCAACTTGTTTTTTATGTTCTCATCTTGGTCCCTACCAGGTCTGCACATGAGGTTTTGTTGGGTGCTAACGTCGCTGTCAGAATTCATAATCGCAGTCTCACTCACCGAAGCCTTCAGGGGGGAATCCTCGGGTTCACGCTCTTCTTTAGTTCCCTCTGCACTTGGAGTTTTGGTGCTCACAAACTTCAGTTCTTCAATTTGGCTTTGGGATATCTTCTCTGGAGCTTCTGCTCCATCCGGTGCCCGTTTTATGTCAGTATTTGCATCTTTAGATTTTGTTGATCTGCTCCTATCTTGTTTGTTTATTTCCTCATGTTGATCCCCGACAATTATGGACATGGGTTCCTGTTGACTGCTAACTTCACTGCCAGCACTGGTAATGCCCGTCTCAACAGATACGTCCTTTGTTTCGGTCTCTTCTTTAGCACATTCAGCCCTCGGGGTTTCACTGCTTTGTGCTTCTGGATGCATCTGTAAAATGGGCCTTTCTGTTTCCTGCTCTGGAGCTTCTTCTTTGGACTCTGTTGAACTGTTAACACTTTCTACTGCTTCTCTGTTTGTAATGTTCTCATCTTGCTCTCTTGCAATCCCGGTTTTCTGCTTCTTGTGGCTCCTGACTTCTGAGTCGACCGTCTCAATTGGTAAATTCTCCATCAGCATTTCCTCTGTTTTTCGCTCTTCTTTAGGAGTAGTAGTTTTAGTTCTTACAGCTTTCGGTTCTGGTGAGTGAGTTGCTTCCTCATACTCAACCGCCTCTTCTTTAGCAGGAAGTACTTTGGCTTCCAGTGTTTTATTCCCTGTTTGTGTCTTCAGATGCTGATGGGGTTCCTTATCACCACTCTTGGCATTTTCTTTTAAGATGATGTGAGCTTCCTGCTCGGTGTCAACCACGCTGTCCGTGTTCGTATGTTCATGGAGAGCGCTTCTTGCTTGCTCTGCTTCCGCCTCCTTCTCTTCCAGGGCCTCCACACCTTCGGTCTGTGGTCCCTCTCCTGAGTCAGACTGGAGACATTTGTCCCCCTGATGACGGACCCGTCCGCTTGCAGGTTTTCGTGGTTACTTGCTCTGCTTCATCTTCGATAGGTTTGCCTTCTGGCTCCTTTTTGCAACTGTCTTGTGAGTCGGCGCTTTCAAATTCTCCCGTCAGTGAAAGAGACTCTTTGTCCAGCTGATGTTCAACATTCTTGGGAAATTCACAAACAGTCACAGTCTGTGCTGCTTTCCTGCCAACCTCCTCTTTGCCCTCAAAATCTGCTACTAAATCATTTTTAAGAATGATATTAGTTGTTTGATCCTCCAATAACCCTTTTTGATGCTCTACATTGGCCAAGTTAGATTCAACTGAAACAGCAATGGAAGTAATATCAGTTGGTTCAGCATCCTGATCTTTAGCAGGGACACTATTGCTGCTGTTATATTCCTCAGAGGGGACCTTTTTTGTTTCTTTGAGGGAAAAACCTTCCTGATCAGAGGAGCTTATTATGTCACTGTGTGGCGTTTCAACCGGAACCGGTTTGGGTGACGCATCAGTAACTCCTCCTCTCTCCTGGATTAAATCTGCTTTACGGTTACTTGTAAGCTTTGTTGTCCCTAAAATGTCTTTCTCTTTTACTTCTTCTTGACAAATCTTTGGTGCAATCGATGTCTCGATGTCTTCCTTTTCAGTACACTCAACTTTTGTTGGTTGTTTGATCTTAAGCTGGAAACCAGCCTTAGAATCCTTCACACCGGTGAGAGGCAGCTGAGATGGACTTTCCTCTGCAACCTCAGTAACCGGAGAAACGTTCACTGGAATAATGGCATTGTTGTTTTGCGTTGGACGGACTCTCTTAATCCCCTCAGCTGCAGGACTGGTTATGCTCTCTTGTAATTCTTTGGTCGCTTTTCCTTTTAGCTTGCCTTCCCCGGTACTGGAGGCATTGTCTGTCCGTTTTATCACTGGCTGCTGTTCCTTTGGAGACAGAGACGTGACTGTGAGTGCGTCACCACCAGCCTCCTCCTTCCCTTCATCTGCTGTGCCACGCTCAGATGCTGCGTCAGCTGTCTCCGTGTTGGAGACCTCCCGTTTACATGTTGGTGTGCTTACAGAAGTCTCAGCAGATGTCTGTTTTCTGGGCTTTTCTTTGCTGGAGCTTCTCTGACCCCTTGTAGGAAGCTTGCTAACAGAAGCTGAGGGATCAGGAGAACCTTTGGGGAGCTTGATGTTGTCACTCTGTTTGGGGAGCCTTGATGACACGTCTCTGCCGTGCTCGGTGGGAGGTTGAGGGACACACCCGGTCGGCGTGTCCCTCTCTTCGTGGCTGCTGCTTCTTTTAGAGAGAGGTTTGGATGGTTTGGTTGCCAGCATGCTTCCTGTTGAAAACAAACAAAACGTTTATTATAACAACAACATCTACAATGACAGCATTGACATTATTTACGTGCATGTAAATATGAAGCCAGAGCCAAGAGATGCCAACGAGCGCCTCTAAAGCTCACCGATCAACACGTTACATTTGCCTGTGTCCGGCACATGACATGCAGGGACTGTACCTTTCTTGGGACTTCCGGGGAGCGGTGGAGTTACTTCTTCCTGCTCTGGACTCGGCTTCTGCACTCTGCTGGATCCGTCTGAATCCGTCTGACGAGATGTCAATTTTTCATCATGGTTGCTTAAAGTTGCATTAATCGCATCGTTCCTTTTTCTTGTGGGAGATGAAACGGGCAACCGGCTCTTTGATGCCAAGGAGACATTATCATCCAGACGGTTTTGCCCTTGTTTTTGGTCACCAAGACCCTCCCGGTCAGTTGTGGGTCCCGGTCTGATACGACTCTCTTCGAAGTCTTTCTCCCCACCGTTTACCAGGGTTTTAGGGTCACGGCCCTTGTGCGTTTTTTCATTAGTAAGCTTTGTTGCTATCTTGTGTGTTTTAGTGGGAGAAATGTCTCCTGACTGAGCTTTCTCTTCAAAACTGGGTTTTCTGCCTGTTTCGGTGGCAGGAAGCGGGGATTTTAAAGCTTCTTTGCTTCTGGGTAGTTTCTGCCCTTTGGAAGTGACCAGTGGCAACGCGGCGTCGGTCGCCGATGGTTTATCTGGCGTCACTGGCGATTTCACATCAGCATCTGATGCTGACCTCTTGGGGATTTTAGACTTTGAACCTGAGGGACTGGAGCTTTGGTCCTTTAATGAAACGATTTTATCATCACCAGGTCCCCTCTGTGGTGGCGTATCACTGGAAGTCCGCGCCCTTGTGCTCTCTGCGGAGGCCTTAGCCTTTGTTGTTCCATTTTTGGTCTTGCTGCTGGCTGACGACGGCGTCTTTGCTCCACTGGACGTGCTCTGCTCACTCTGTGCTGCTGCTGCTTTGAGCCCTGGTTTAGAGGCTGTGGCCTGGTTGGTTCCTTGGCCTCTCAACCCAGACCGCACCGCTTGAGACTTAGTTCTGTGCATGTCTGAAGTCCCAGAAGTATCTTCAAAGTTTGTGGCCTCAAAGTCTGTTTTTTTCTCAACGACGGTTTCCGGAGTGTTTGTGTGTGCGTGCGTCGTCCCGGCTGTGGTTCCTGGCTTCCTCCCGGCTTCCTCAGGTTTTACCTTGTTGTTTTGGAGGCTTGGCAGTCTGAAGGGAGAGAGACAAAGAGAATAACATCAAAAGGAATGTTTGTGAATAACATAAACACCACAAACTACATATAACGATAAATTGTCAAGTACATTTCATATTGTTCTCCTTTTGGAACCATTAAGTGTCAATAAAGAATCGTTAGACATCATAGGCTTCTTAGTGATCTGGTCCTAGTTGTGAGTTACAAAAGGGGATCGGTAATGACACATTCTTGCATCTGTATAGCAAATATGTTACACACTTCCCCAGACATAAAAATGCCTTCATCTTCCATAAATATCCATTGGTGGTGTGTTCAAGGAGAGTGTGAATCCCCCTGCAGCATCTCTGCACCTCTAAATCAAACCAGGAATGTTTTCAGGCATGAACACCTGTAGCCTGGAGGGCAGAGCTACTTGCATTTCAACGCGTGTGGTTCACCCCTTTTGAAAGAAGTAGTCAAACCAAAGTGTGCAGGCGGTCGACGCCAGTTGCCCATCAACTTTTGTACTTCTTCAGGCAACTTATATACACCATAACTAAACAGCATCGGTCACCTTCATGCCAAAGAAAAGGTGATACAAGTCAAAAGGATCCTGGCGTCTTTTTTACTTAGTAAGTAGCACATTTTGTTTATTTTGTTAAGTTGAAGAGTACTTTACAGGAATAGGTCAGTGTTTTTGTATGATTAGATGTACTGCACATGAATATTTCAGTGCCGTCTGTATTGTTCTCCTCTGGTACAATGGGGCTTGGGAACGTAGAGCTCAGGTTGCATGCGGACATGGCTCTCTTTACCTCTGTTTGGCTCTGTTAGGCCCTGTATGGCCCTGTTTGGCTCTCTTCACCTCTGTTTGGCTCCGGTTGGCTCCGTTTGGCTCCGTTTACCTCTGTTTAGCACAGTTTAGCCCTGTTTAGCCCTGTTTGGCTCTGTTTGGCTCTGTTTGGTTCTCTTTACCTCTCTTTGGCTCTGTTTAGCTCGGTATAGCCCTGTTTACCTCGGTTTAGCTCGGTTTAGCTCTGTTGACCTCTGTTTGGCTCGGTTTAGCTCGGTTTAGCTGCCCTGCTTTTGGTTTCCCACAGGATCAAAGGCCCTATTAAACAGTAACCACAGAACATGAAACAGATACTCACGCTTTTCCTGCCGTTGTGTCTGAAGTCTTTGTAGACAAATCTATGCTCGGCTCCTCCTCCGCTGGTTCAGTCCCGTCCAAACCCGTCTCCGGGGTAACATGGACCCTTTCGGCAAAAACCTTGTGTTTTGAAGGCAGGTTCACGGTCTTGCGCGTCACCCAAACGTCTGTGGGTCCGTGCTTCTCCCTGACTGGACTTTGCTTGGAGCCGGTTTCAGGCTCTCCTGGCTGTGGGGGGGCGGGCAAGGAGCCGGCTGACTCTGGCAAGCTGCCACTGGGCTCTGAGGGGGGGGCAGAGACCCGAGGGAACAAGTCGTCCTCAGGAATCACGTTGACAGGTATTGCCAGGACGGGAGGCGAGTCCGCTCTGAAGCCCTGCTCCGCTTGTTCCGTTACATCCCTCCCGTCCTCCCCCTCCCCTTCCTCCTCCGGCCCCAGGTGCGTCTCCACCCATATGGCTTTGTGGAGCTGGGCGGGAGATCCACCTCGGGGCGCTGGCTCGCTCTCTGTTGTGGCGTCGCACGTGAACAACTGACCCCTCCTCTTCTTCTCCCTGGCTGTGTCTGGAGAGTCCCCGCCTTCCCTTCGGCTGCTGGTGGGGTGTGAGGCGGAGGACTGAGAGCCTAACGTTATCCCCCTCAGAGTGGTGCTGTGCCCCTTTTCTCCAACCTTCAGGGAGGATGTCTTTGACGCTAAGCTTATGGAGGTGAGGTTTGGGGACGTGGGGCCCTCGGCCACCTTGGAGAGGGAGATGTTAAACGTTGACCGTGTGGTCGGGCTGAGCGCCTCGCTCACGCCGCCTCCCGATTGATTGGTGGCAGCCGCGTCCGGAGAGGTGGAGGTCGAATCCCCAGCCGTGCTGACCCCGCGGGCGGGCGCTTCCCTCACACTGCTTCTTCCGCTGCTGTCGCTGTTTGCTTCAGCGGCGAGCACGGAGACCACGCTGGAGCCGCTGAGGCTGGAGGTCCTGCTGAGGGCGTCGGCGCTCTCCGCTCCGCAGTCCCCACTGTCTCTTCTAGACGGAGTCGGCGTCTTGTGCCCGTCCCCCTCCCGTAGAGACCGGGGTGAGCCCGTGGGGGCGCTGACGTCGGGGGACGCCTCTGAAGGATGCTTGCTGCTGCTGCTCTTCTTTCTCTTGGAGCTGAAGAAGTGGCTGAGACGATTCAGCATTCCTCTCTTCTCCTCCGAGCCCTGGAAGGGGAAGGACAGGAAGAGAAGAACATTTTCTCTGGGCCCATTTGTAACTATGATAATAAGGATGCATCTCTTGTACATGCATCTCTGTTTGTTATTCCAAAAAATGGTAAAAATATATAAAAATGAATGAATAGAAAAGAATAAACAAACCACAACTTTAAACTTACAGCATTAAACATTTCATTTAATAGATTAGTTATTCATACTTGGTTTTGCCCGATAAGCCAAACCCACTCTACCCCCCCCCTCCCCCCCTTCAGTCGTAACCCCTGGGCAAAAACTGTACTTTTTAATATATCACCAGAATTATTCTGGTCACATCTTCAAAAACATACATTTACTCCAGTCAAAGGTTGGACGCCCCTGCAGGGGGTGTACAGCAGGTAGAAGAGAGGACTTTGTGCACAATGCATATGCTGTTGTATGTTTACTCAAACTCTTATATACACACCCTTTTCTTTTCACAACAGAAGGTCTCTATTTTGGGTTCATTTGTCTTGTACGGTTTTCATTTTTCCTCAGCCCAGCAGGTAGAAGGCAGACACCCGCGTGTCAATACCAACACACTGGTAAGACAATCTGGAGAGGGACCACTAATGACTAGACGGACGTAAATCTTCCTTCATGCTCAGCTCCAGGGTCTGAAGTTTTCACAGGCTCAGGCGTCCAGTGAGAGACAGAGTTATATTAAAGCGGGAGACAGCAGCAGTAGCTTTTCAAAACTACATTTCGGTAGAACGCTGTGCCGACTAGAAACACACCTTGTGAACCTGGTTAACTGTAGTCGCAGTAAAACGAGCATGCCAGGACAAGAAGCAGGAGCCACAGGGCAGAATAAACATGAGTTACATACCATTTGGACTTCCTGGAGCCTCAACAGTTGAATTTCCTTGGTGTTCTCTGCCCATTAATGTATCGCAATTCTTAAACTGGATGTTCCCACGTCTTTAGAACGGGAGAAAATAAAAGTCTTCTCTTGTAAGCACGCCAGCAGCGCTGACTGCATGACTTGTGTGAGTCTACGGTTCAACGTTGCAGTGAACAAAGCGCCTGACCGGAGGGCTCGGCCGCTTGTATCACAGCAAACAGTGGGAACAAATAACGAATAAAAAGGGAGATATTGTGAAAGATGGTTCACATAAAGAACCAGTGAGAAGAATCCACAATCCGGCAACAGTGAAAAGGGTGTGGCCAAGCTGGCCGGGGACCAGCCCACACTTCCTCATTCTAAAGGCGTTTAGATAACATCTATACCATGCAGTGGGTCAAAGGTGCCATGTGACTACGTAAGTAAGGATTTAGAACTGCTGAGAGTGGAATGAGCACCTGTTATAACATTATTATTATTATTATCATCACATGATTTCACTGAGCAGGTAAAGAACGTCTAAAACGTACCCGGACAGCTGGGTTTGGGTCAAAAGCAACATACAGTAGCTCCAATTCGGTTTGACTCGCTCACAAATCCACCGTTGAAGGAGTGACAAAAACAAACAAATCAAAGAGAAATAAGTTTTGAATGGCTACCTGTCGGCCCCTATCCGCTGTCTGAGCGTATTTACTCATAGCAACGACTAGTGGCAGGTAGGTGGAGACATAGCAGCATATCTGAGCCCCGCTTCCTTATCTCACAGCTAGGGCTGTTGACAAATATTCTATAGAATGTTAAAATTATTATTCGAATGGAAAAAAACAAACAGCGGCAGCAGAGGCGTGACTGCCTGCTTAGCGGGCGCGCGCCTGTACTGACTATATTGCATGAATGAAATAGACTCCATCGGCTACAACAGCTTCATGCACTGCTTTCTTTATTTGCCGTTTCATGACAAGGAGAAGTTCTGTGTTTACAGCACAGATCGCTCCGAGAGTTCAATGCCGGTACTGTAAAACCTTCAGTTTCAATCACTGACGTTTTTGGGACAAGCATCGCGACCTTAAACTGCTTGCACAAAACTCTTGATCAGCACTGTGCATTTGTTTATTGTTGTCGTTCTTTTAAACGGCTTTGCACAGAGAGCGCGGCGAGAGAGAGAGAGAGAGAGGTCTGCGGTCTTGGCCGTTAGTTAATTTACTTATTTTTGTGTAGGTAATATTTTGTTAAATCGGTTTAAACGTAATTTAATTAGCTATACAAGTAGTTATGTCTCGTTGTATTAATTTGTCCTGTTAATTACGTGTCTAATGTGCAACCAGATATTCGAATATATTGGAATATCTGTCTTTTTTAAAGTGAATATTCGAACGTCATTTTTGACGAATTATGCCAGCCTTCATTCTGTGATCAACAGCTCCACACGGGATGAATGTGTCCATCTTACTAACAGCACTGGACCCTTGACAAATTGGAAACCATCACTTATCTTTGAGTTAATCATTACAATACATTGTATATATATATATATATATATATATACAATGTATTGTAATGTGTTGTATATATATATATAATAATATAATTTTCCATCCATCCTTCCATACCGTGACTTAAAGCTACAACGAGGAACTTGTACTGTGTGTCTATTGTAGAATCCCTGCTGACGAAAGGGCGACCAGATGAGCGAGGAGGAAAACCAAAGAAATAAACAGGTCAAAGTTCATCACCGTAGCTTTCAAGGACAAGTACTTAAGTCAATTTAAATTGAATTAAAAATGGAATTGAACATATTCTTTGATTATTATTGTGGATGCCTTTTATGTGAAAGCAGCATAAAGATGCAGTTAGTTAAGGAGGAAACAATTTAATCACTGATTAATGTAACAGTACATCAAATTGGCTCATTGCATGTTGTGAGTATAGAAACTAAAGCTTATGTCAGACAAAGTCAAAAGAACCAGATAAGTTTATAAAAATTATTCAAATACTAGATTATAACAGTAAGTCCAAAAATAATCATAGAAATAACAATTTTGATTTATTTAATGTTACTGTTCTTATCATTTGTATCAGTTTATAGCTTCATTCATTTCTTTGCGAAACTGCAATGTGGGCGTTAACATCTGGAACAATAGTTTGCTAGAAATAAAATACATTAGTATTTAGGATACGTAGTATTAAGGATTACGTTTAGATGAAGTCAATGTCATAATTGAATCAACAGATTATTTTAAAGCTTCTTACACAAACTATTATATTGCAGATATTACCCTTCTGAAAAGTGCAACCACACTGTAGCTCATTTGTCTCTCAAACACTGACAGCAGGTATGAAAACGTGTTCATAAGACCAACCTTGGAGTACTTGAAGCCGTGTGGCTGAGTCATGTCGAAGTTGATCATGGAGGAGGACTCCGAAAGAGGCTCCCAGTCCGATTCAGTCCGGAAGTTACACTCTGTGGAAACACTGATCTGGTCGAAGCTCCTGGTAGAGGGACAGGAAACAGGGAGAGAGAGGGGGGTGGGGATGGGGGGGTTATGTCACTGGACTGTGTTTCTCCCCTCCCTGGTCACGCTACGGCTTTACAGTTTCTACTCCTCACGGACTTGCATGTGGCCACGGAGGCACTAATTAGAGACACAGCGGTTTACTGAGCGCAGGACCTACGCGGGCTCGCGGGACGTCCTGCCTCCATTTAGTTGGGACGCACAACGTGACCATTGACACGCAACGTGGCTCCCCGGGCGGCAAAGCGCGCACGCTGAGCAATTAGAGCGCCATCGAGGATTCTAGAAGACGTGTGAGGCCGGAGAGGGGCCTCCGTCTCAGGTGGAGCGGCTGAAGCTCCTCAGTTTGCCCCAAAGTGTTTTACAGCAGCTGCCGGCCTAAACATCAGAATAGAAATTTGATTTTGAAATAAATAATGTATTCTCGCCATTTCCTAGCTTTCCTCTGGGCGAATTTTGGGGGGCTGGCCTTCATGCTAGAGCTTATATCCAATGATATTTCAGCAGTCATGGTCCAAGAAATCTGCTCTCAGGCCTCCAGAACAACAGTGCAGGTCCCTTTAGCTTAAAGTCAAAGGAGACAAAAGAAATCCGATTGGTTGGTGACACCGGGGCCAGCGAGCAGGCGTACAATGACGTCAGAGCGCGCCCGTCTTTTCAGCGGCTACGCACTAGTGAGAGGCGGAGCTGCACAGAGCTGGCAAACTGAAGCCAATGACCCCATGGCAACCTGCAGAAGTGTTTTTCTTTCCACATGGTTAACGGAGGACAAGGGATTGGTTTGGTTGGGACATACTTACAACGCCTGCTTAGGAGGTGGATGAACTCAGGTGGGACTGTGCAGAGGACATAAGTCCCTCCTGTGGCGGCAGTTCACTTGTCTCCAGCAAGTGAGCCGTTTGTCCACCAGGGGGCAGAGACGGGCTGGACCAGCAGAGCCCGTGAGAGATAACTAGTTGGCACGGATAACCGGCATTTTTCTGTATTAAAAGAAGTGCCGACACTTTGAAGTGACTGCAGAATAATGCTGATAAGCATCCAGCTTATCTACTAGAAGCCTGTTTAACCGGCAGCCGTGTTTGTGCGCATCGCGTTTACTTTCGTTGTTCAGGCTGAGCCGTGGGACCACGTCGACCACGCCTCACTCAACGGAGCCTGCGGCAGCTGCCAGAGCCCCCTCTGCCTTAAAGTCATCCTCGGCAGGCTGCTGTGACGCACCTGTGGAGGATCTCTGATGATCCACCAACTGACATACATCCACTATGGTCACTGCCATGGGCGAACTTGGCCTGTATTTTGAGTTGGTAGACTAATGGTAGAAAAAAAAAATTTAAAAAAAGAATTATGACTGTAAGTGTAAAACCTAGTAAAAGTAATGACATTCAAAAAAATAAGATTGAAGGTTTGACACATGCTTCATTCTTAAAAATGACTCAACATCCCGAGGAACGACACGCACAAACTTGTTTATTTTATGGAATATGACAGTGGGAAATGAAGCGGCCTCAGAGGGCCATCATGTCGACACATGTGCAGCAGGAGAAGAGAGAGCTCCTCCTGTTACAGTTGGGACTTGTTCTCCATGAGGCTCCACTCTTCTGGACTGTTTTTGTGGAGAAGCGCACAATGTTTTACACAGCAATGGTAGAGGCTGTGTCTTGAGTCACGGCAACTGAGGTCATTTCAAGAAGCCCCAGGCGTCTGTGTGTGAATACGGTATTTCCCTCTCAGTTATGGTGGATTATTGTTTTTTTGTTCCTGCTTATTTATATTACTTGTTCTTGAGCTTATTTCCTGGTTGCACTTTAAGCCTAGTTGATGCTTTGTCCCTTGCGTGTCCCTTGCGTGCCTTTTCACATCGCCTTGCGTCCTTGCGTGTGTCGAGACATTTTTCTAGGCTTGCGCACCAGGCTGCGATTGGTCCGCTAACTACGTCCTCTGTTGTGAGAGAGAACGGATCAGATTTAAGAACTTTTGTCGGAAGAAATGCGTAAATATGAGCGCTTATACAAGCCGTCATTGGCGGGTTGGATTCACGGAGGGAGATCGCGGCAAACGCCGGTTTGCAGGTCGAGAGGTGCACAAAGTTGTGGAGGAAAATACGGGACAAATGTGTCCGCGATGAAAAGCAGCAGTGTCGATGCACGGGGCAATAAAGTCTATGATAAATAAATAAACAAATAAATGAATAGATGTGACTCTCTAGGTCGTCTTCAACAAAACACGTCACACCGCCTGTTGTTCTGGCGGTGAATCGCTCTGCAACACACGCAGAACCATGAAGTGAAACGAGTGCGTCGACGCAGAAGCATGCGCCGGCCTTTAGGCTACTCGGCTGGAAATCCTTTATATTCTCCTGCTGCAGGACTGAAAAGGATCCGCTTCTCACTTCTTGTCTTAAGGAAGAAGTAGTAGGTGTGCGGTTGAATTCTCTAATTCTTTGATATCCTGGATATTAGTCTAATACTGACTCAAATAGATGGATGTGGTCTCTGATACTGTTATTATAAACCAACAATTCAGTACACTGTCAGTCACTCCGACAGCGTGAGGCCTGCAGCTCAATAAGTAAACACTGGTTCCAGATCAGTACCTGGTGCTGGGAATCAGGACTGACGCAGTGCTCATCTAACTGTAAATGGTAAATTACCTGTACTTGTATAGCGCTTTTCTAGTCTTCCGACCACTCAAAGCGCTTTAACACTACATGACATCATTCACCCATCCACACACTGATGACAGGAGAACCACACACAGTGACACCTGCCATCAGTCACTAACATTCATACGCTGTAGTTGCAGCTACAGGAGCAATATTGGGTTAAGTGTCTTGCCCAAGGACACATCGATAAATGACTGTAGATATTTCATATCTACACATGACTGTGTAGCTGGAGGCACTAATTAGAGACAGTCATGTGTAGATATGATATGAACACGGCTAGACTCCAACCAGCGTGGTAGAGGAAATGGGAGGTCGCCGTCCCATATGGGGGCCTATCGATGCCCCTCCTAAACCCTCAGGGACGGACTGAAGCCAGCTGGTATTTGGTTGAGTGTGAGAGTTTGTAAGGGCTTAAAAAAGGTGTAAATATGAATGGAAGAGCACTTTATTGCAACACATCACGTATAAAATATATGATGTACAATTGTGGATATTTCATACTGTTTAGGGCCTGTTTGTACCTCTTCTAGGCCCCGTCCTCACAAGATACGGTCCTTCCAAAAAGGACGAAAATAAATGTTTGAACACAAAAATTAATAAATAGGTTTTTTTGTTTGTTTAATCTTTAATCCTTAATGCTTCTGTCCGGACCTTGCTCGGGCATGTGCATGCACTAACTTCCACTGACTAAATCCACTGCAGGTTTGAGGCCAACCCAAAGATTAACACTGATCACTGGTGCCCAGAAAAGTGTATCCACGCTAACTCGTGTTGCATCGCTAAGAAACTAAACGGCTAAGTGAAACAAGCAGAGCTCAGGGAGCGCCGCCAACCTGCAGATACACCCGGAGAAACTCTCACATGGGCTGGGAGGGATTCACATCTCCTGATCATGATTCAACATGGCGCCGATGATGGCCGCCATGGTGCTTCGGTGCTCGTTGTTTTTGTTTGTTAACCTATGCCGTCTTATCTGTCTGTTGATGTGCACCAATCGCCAAGTCAAATTCCTTGTATGTCTGACATATTTTGGTAACAAGTGTTTCCTGATTCCTGAACCAGGGACTCTCCCTCCGATGGCCCATGAGGGTCACAAATGATTCACGAGAGGCTGTTGATGTACGCAATACACAGCGCCACAGAGACCGGGCTGAGCGGGGCTTCAGCCTGATGTATGGGCTTGTTCCAGGCTTGCGTTGCCCAATAGGAAACATGGAGCAACGGCTTATGCTCTGCAAGGGCTCCAAGTTCTCTCCTTTTCTGCTGAGACAACATTGTGGCGATGTTGAAAAACAATAAAACACAGATATTATCTCAAGCAATGTTGATGCATTCATAAAGCAAATTAAAATGCCGAGGAACCAAAAAACGCCGGCAGTGCTCACTGGAACGACTGCGGCGGGGGGGGGGGGCGAGCGCTTGCAGCCGAATGGCGTCTGGCAGCCTCGACTCTTCCACTTGGCCCCGTGACCGGGGTTGGGGAAGAAAATGATACAACGCAGCTGATACTGCTGACATTTTGCCTTTGGAAGCAGAAACGCTTCTCTCCTTTACCCCTTATGTATGGTATATGGTTATGGAAAACAACTTCTGTCAATGACAACATGATAAGAAATGATATCACTTGGGTGTTTTCATGAAGACGTTTATCATGTATTATCATCCTGGCTGTAATCTGCTTCCATATAGGAGATTTTGAACCCACTACTGTAACACATCCATCCACAGTCCACGCGTCACTATTTCTCTGTGTTCACAGTGCGTGCATCGTTATAAAGCGATGACACCAGATTTGTGCATGCATGCATTACAAGCTGATAACACATTTCTCTTTCAGGCAGAAACAAAAAATGCCTGTAAAAGAGTGAAAGACGAGAGTTGGGCTTGTCCTCCTAAAGCTGTGTCTCCAATAATCAACAAGAAGAACTTTTTCCCACTGAAAGACTGGTCAGCTGGCGTTTCTTGCTTAAGACCCCTCCCTTTACCGCCTGGAGGGTGTGTGTGTGTACACACATTGTTTTGTAACTGCATCTGTGTTTAAAGCCCAGCAGGTTGAGGTCATGTTGACTCGAGTCCACTTATACCTGCATGTCGGCTTCTCCCTCACCCTGACTAGGGTTGTGTTTGAGGGCCTGCTGCAGCACAGAAGAACACCAATGTGGTGTTAACACCCAGCCAACAACACATGTCAACATGCATCCCGTGTGCAAACACTGGCCGAGAGAGGAAAAGACAATATGCACACGTGTGCATATATAAGACTACTAATGGAAACCCTTCCTCCGGCAGAATAACACAATAACAATTGCTAT